GCTTTTATCACCAAAAATGTTCTCCTTTGCTAATTTCTCATTCATTTCACGTAACAATTAAACTCAAATTCTCATTCTCTCGAATACACTCTATAATTGATCATTTGATTGTCGAGCGTAGTTAAGCAATAATGATCGATTGCAGTATTGTTGATTTCGGCTGTCAACACTTGTCAACGTGTTCATAATTGATTCGAACTGTGAAGTGAAATGAGACGAAGTGAATGAGAAAAATTTATCAAGAGAACATTATTCACATGAAATAGCTATGAGAGTGATTACAACACGTATGAAAAGAATGAGAATCCATCTGAATCAGTTTGATATAAGCGTGTCACAGACAATAGCTTTACATGCGATCATAATCGATTGCAGCAATGAGCAACATCACGGCCGGGGACCCTAATTTCTTTCACGCCACTGAGAACTTTTCGGACTGGTTTTCCACTTTTTGCTGACGTTATACGTAGAGATAGTAAGTTCTTGTATCAGGAGGGGCAGGGGAGGAAGGGGGGCGTAACGGCGGCCTGCCAGATCATTAAAAAGGGTAATGGTGCACCCGAAAGTGGGAACCACTGCCTTACAGTACACTATCTATCATTTACTTTCTACATAAACCTCAACATAGAAATTCTATTATAGAAATTCTTTCAGTTTTGATAGATATTCTTTCAAAGTTACATCATCCACTCACTATGACCAGCAAGCTCATATCAGATGATGTGCTTAGCAAGACTATCGCATGGTACCTACCAGTTACTATCATTATCAGAGCTGTCATTCTTATTACTATTATTATCGAGTATTACTGATAATACTGACAAACTCGTAGTAGATTAAGTAAAAAGTTGAAGAGTAACAGAACCAAGCGACATCATTGTTCAAGTATGAAACTAACAAATGCAACTCAACGATATATTCAATTTATGGTATATCCGAGTAGAACGCTGACTACAAGAATGGTGTGATACCCTCAGGGTTGAAATCAAATGTTGAGGATTAGTGTGCACTCAGAATGTGATTTAAGAATCGAGCAGAGATGAATGCCATCAAAATTGTGATCAATTTGATCGACACGAACACATCAAATCGCCTTACTCTTTGCTTTAGCCAAACTTGTTAATCACCAAAAAATGCTCATTCTTCTCTCCTATCATATCATCAACAACAATGTCAGTGCGTAATATACATATTTCCGATTCATCTGATTTATAAACTCAATCATCTTGAAATGAATATGCATTCATTAGCGAGTTGTTGTGTAAATACGAGAAATGTCCAACCAAAATGATATACAATCTATGAACGATGTGATATTTGTTATCGTGATATTTATGATTTGGTATTACCATATTATGAGGCATTCAAAGTATCGCTTGAAACAATAACGCATTTTATGATTTATGCCTAACACACTACCTGGTTTTCAAACTATTCACACTCATCATCACTGAAACCAATTTTCTACTTCTAACAGTTCTGTTGAGTTGTGTACTTATCTCAACGCAGTGCATTGTTGATCACTGATGATCAGTGGATATAAAATCGCACTGAGCAAGCATTTTACCAATTCAGTAAACAAAACAGATTGATTTCGTTGAGACGGAAAGGGGCTTAATCATGAAAACTTGCAATAAAAATAGATCATGGCAGGAACTGGCATATACAATAATAAAGTGGGTTCCCTTCAGTCACTTCAGTGCGTTCCCTTCAAGTCCCGTTCAAGATACCCTTCCGAAAATGCCAGAAAATTCCACCACTATAATGTCATCGTTGTACTTCTGCGCTTCATTAGTATGCCTTCAAATGGTAACCGCATAGACTTCATCCATCCACTTTCAACATTTGCAGTACTTATCAGTTTTATTCTTCACAAAATTAATTCATCACAGAATTACACTTTTGAAAATATGTTTCCGTTCATTCACATTTCGAGTAGTACAATGAAGTACTTCCATAGTTATAAGTAAGTCATAACAGTTTCAAAAATTCATATTTATTAGCCAATACATCTTCAAATAATAACAAAAAAATGGAGATACTTCTATCACTTCTATTGCATTCATTTCATGAATTCAAATGTTTTGGTAACATTGAAAATAAGGAAACATGAGTTATGATAGGCAATGACTTCTGCATAGCACTGTGGAAGAATTGGTAGATGCAGATTGTGAACTGAGAATTTAGTCAGAAATCACTAAAAGTTTGAGGAGGGTATGAACAATGAACTGAAGCGATTAAACATAAATCTCTTGTTTTGTTGAGAAATACGACGGAATTGTTTGCTGACTGAATTCAGCTCGCTGAAACTGATATGATTATTTCACCTTCCTCAGCCATTGCTTTGAACGGAGATTTTGGATCGATGCAGTCCAGAGCAACCTGAAATATTCTCCTTATCAACGAATCTTTTAAAAGTATCGAAAATCAAATGTTGAATATTGTTCGGTGGGAAAACGTTGAATATTGTTTGATGGAAAAACGTTCGGAGCTTAAGCGTAAGTGGAAGCGTAAGGCTTAAGCCAAGCATTAGCTTGAGTCCAAATATAAGTTCAAGGTAGGGCCCAGGTATCAGCCTAAATTTGGGTACAAGCTTGACTGAATCCAGTTCGAACTTTTGAGTTTTCGATGCTTCTAGGCTAGCCCTTATTAACAGCTGCTACTTTCATTTTCAACAAGAAGCATTGAAGGCGAGAAATAAATTTACAAGTGTAATCTAAGAATGTCGATGCATTCAAGTAACAGAAATTATAGCAGAATGGATATCTTCAAAATTTTCTTCCAAAAGTTTAGTCGTCATTCTGTGATGTTTTCCATTGTTTTGCATGAGTCTGCTGCATGTTAGCAATGCATAAAGGTTAATTGTATGAATATCATAATGAAGTGTTACTTTTATATATTGTATAATGAGCTGTTTCCTGACTGAATGTAGCAAGTCGAATGCAATCAGGAAACATAACACGGATATGATGAAACAGAGTAGCACCTGAGCATATTGTATAATGAGCTGTTCGTCAGTGGGCCCAGTGTCGGCCGGAATTCGACGTATTGTGAGCGGTGTGCTACTTTGTGGCTCGATGAAGCCATAGACCGGATGGAATCGGAAATGCTCGTTGTCGGTGAAACGAAGTTTGAAAGCATAACGAACGAAACGATTGTTTTGGATTTGATGATGTGACTTTCCGCCTTTCACGTTCAACCGCGCCGATCGGGGCTCAACCGTTATGGCGCTCATCTCAACTATCAAATGAACTAACTCAAAAGAATTCCTCTCACTTTAATTTGCACTCTTTTGAATAGTCACCCAAATTTGCATCTAATCTCACAAAAATGCCTCTAACGTTACTTGATGATTTATAATTTTCCAGCAGTTCACTATTATGCAGATAGTGAAGCAATTGCTGATAATAACGGTTCATGAAGACTATCATCACTTTTGTGGAGCTGCCGAAACACAGTCTCGAAGGAAAGACAGGTTTCGGACTGCGCAACAGCGAAATGTCCTTAGCAATCATTATCATCAAGAGATTTATAAAATGAGCCTAGGGCTTTCTCATAATTCTGATTGTGCTCTTTCAGTGCAGTGTCATGTTTGATGTGAATGCGTCCTGTAATATCCCAGTATGTCGTAGCAAAGAAAATAAGAAGTATAATAAGCGATGTTCAATTGTTATGTCGCTAACTGATGAGCGACAATAAATCCGACACGACGACGAAGAAAATTCTTTATTTACGACCCAGTCAGATAAGACGATCCTTTACTTAGGATCGAGACAAGACACGACACGACAATGAGATCTCGTCCTTATATAGAGTTTGTTTGTATGTAAATTAATGGCAATAGACGACAATCATACATAAATCAGCAGATTACCTATATGATAATTTGATCACTATACAACATCAGTGATAGCGAGATGCTGAGATCGGTTCACTTTTAATCTCACAAAGTCTGCTTTTCGCAAAATAAAAGTTTTATCTGTTCAGAAATTTTTGTATTTGTACAAGATTCTAAACGCTTTCCAATGCATACGTTTTGTTCGTGATATTTTTATCCTCATTTCCACTACAAAATACCGCTACAAACTGAACACAATGATTCTGAAGTGATTCAGCTACGAACTATTGGTTCATTCAGTTCACGTTCATATACTCGACTTTTTTCGTTATGTAGCATAATTAATCTTAATTATGTGATTAATTACTCATGCTAATTGGGCAGTGATACTTAATTTGCGTGAAAGTAACAAATTTAGCGTATTCATGAGGTAAATTTGAACTCTTTACCAATGGTTGCTTTTATAGGAGCCCTATTTGTGTTTTCTTGTTCTTTTCGGGTACTTTTTAACTAGCACATAATTGGTATGATTAGATATCGCAGATTACGAATTCAGAAAGTTTACTGTTAAGTGACGTTCCTCATTCATTAATGTGATAATAAATTTAAGTCATTTTCTTTACTTTTTAATGAAAAGTTCCTGAGAATGTTGCGTTTTGCAGTAGAAAATTGGTATAGTGAGATCGCTGAAGTATTTCCATTTCTCTTCGTTGTTGATGTACTTTTTGGCGTGTCGAATGCGTTTTTTGGACTACAATCTAACGGATTGTTACTCCTAATTACTACAC